CTCCTCTCCTCTCCTCTCCTCTCCTCCTCCCTCCTCCCTCCCCTCCTCCCTCCTCCCTCCTCCCTCTCCCTCCCCCTCTCCCTCTCCCTCTCCCTCTCCCTCTCCCTCTTTCCCCCCCATTTCTGCAACAATAATAATAATAGAATACTCTCAAAGTTATTAATAATAAAAGAACACTGCGCGCTGACGCGGCGCGACGCCCGCCGGCGGACAACAGAGGGCGCCGTGCGGCGATCTTCGCTCCGACTCTTGTTTCACGCTCGTTAATGCCGTTACAGCAGGACATCAACAAGAGGCTATCCCTGCCGGCGGATCTCAACCTACCGGAGAGCTTTCTCGCGAAGCAGTGTCTAACGCCTACGCTGGACGGGCCGCTGAGTCGCCGCGTCCGGCGCGCCTCGCTGGTAGGTGGCGCCACGTGCTGCATGATTGGGCGACCATGTTGTTGCTATTGCTTCTCTCGTTGATCAATACATATATTTATTTACTTATATATAATGCCTGAAAATTGAATTTTAATCGAGCGTTTAAATATTAAAATTTTTCACATTTTAATGTGAACACGCCACTAATGGATATTTTTGGTGCTCTCGCTCAATCTCTCTCTGTCTCTGTTTCTCTGTCTCTCATTCTCTCTCTGTCTCTGTTTCTCTGTCTCTCATTCTCTCTCTCTCTCTCTCTCTCTTCTCTCTCGCTCTCTATCTCTCTCTTTCTCTCTCTCTCTCTCTCTTTCTCTCTCTCTGTCTCTCTTTCTCTCTCTCTCTCTCTCTCTCTGCTTCTCTCTCTCTCTCTCTCTCTCTCTCTCTCTCTCTCTTCTCTCTCTCTCTTTCTCTCTCTCGTCTCTCTCTCTTCTTTCTCTCCTCTCCTCTCTCTTTCTCTCTCTCACTCTCTCTTTCTCTCTTTCTTTTCGCTCTCTCTCTCTCTCTCTCTCTCTCTCTCTCTCTCTCTCTCTCTCTCGCTCTTTCTTTCTTTCTTTCTCTCTCTGTCTCTCTTTCTATCTCTCTTTTTCTCTCTTCTCTCTCTCTCTCTTTCTCTCTTCTTTCTCTCTTTCTCCTCTCTCTTCTCTCTCTCTCTCTTTTTTCCTTTCTCTTTCTCTTTCCTCGCCTTTCTCTCTCACTCTTTCTCTCTCTTTCTTCTTTCTCTCTCTCTCTCTCTCTTCGCTCTCTCTCTCTGCACTCTTTCTTTCTTCTCGTCTCACTCTCTCTCTCTCTCTCTCTCTTTTCGCTCTCCTCTCTCTCTCTCTCTCTCTCTCTCTCTCTCGCTCTTCTTTCTTTTCTTTCTCGCTCTTCTCTCTTTCTCTCTTCTCTCTCTCTCTCTCCTCTCCTCCTCCCTCTCTCTCTCTCTCTCTCTTTCTCTCTCTCTCTCCTCTCTTTCTCCTCTCTGTCTCTCTCTCTCTCTTTCTTCTCTCTTCCTCTCTCTCTCTCTTCACTCCTCTCTCTCTCTCTCTCTCTCTCTCTCTTTTTCGCCCTCTCTCCTCTCTCCGCTTCTTTTCTTTCTTTCTTCTCTCTCTGTCTCTCTTTCTATCTCTCTTTTTTCTCTCTCTCTCTCTCTCTCCTCTTTCTCTCTTTCTCTCTCTCTCTCTCTCTCTCTCTCTCTCTTTTTCTCTTTCTCTTTCTCTTTCTCTTTCTTGCTCTTTCTCTCTCACTCTCTCTCTCTTTCTCTCTCTCTCTCTTTCTCTTTCGCTCTCTCTCTCTCTTGCACTCTTTCTTTCTTTCTCTGTCTCTCTCTCTCTCTCTCTCTTTCTCTCTATTTTATACACTATCTGTATTTTATACACTTTCTCTCTGTGTTCTTTCAGCACGAGATCGGATTCGGCAAGCTAGACACGTACACCAAGTTAGACAAATTAGGAGAGGTGAGGCTCGTTAGCGATCGCCGCGACGCGCTCGCGATTATTAACGAGCAATGATTAATCGCTCGCGAAATCCTCGCTAATTGGCGCAAGGAGCTTTCGGTCGAATCGTCTCGCGCTCGCTCGTGTGGTGGTGCGATGGGGGAGGGGCGGGCCGTGCGAGGGGGAGGGGGTTGGAATGCTCTGATGGTGCAGCCTGAGTGGGCGGGAGCAGCAGGGAGATCCGTAGTCCAGCGGATAAGCACGTAAAAATGCGCACACTGTGCGCTTTTGGGTAGAATTATGAAACTTTGCCCATGCATACTACATGAGGTCCGGAAGATGTTCTGATATAGTGCCAATTGAACAGCGCCACCTGGTGGCGTGCAGCGCCCCCTGTCGGGTTAAACTGGTGGGGTTCGAATCTGATGATAGGGTGTATAGGTGATACAGGTGGTAGGGGGATAGGCTTCGGTATGTGATAACAACGCAGGTGGCTCGTTAATATGGGTGGAGTAATAGAGGAGGGGTTCGCATACCTGAGCAAGGGTGCGAAATTAACGCGAGTCCCGAGTCAAATATACTCCCTGATTTACTGTCGGACTCCCTGATTTGGCATATGCAGGAATCTGTGTGACTCCCTGAAAATTCTGCTATACTAACTATTTCGTTCCAGAGCACGGCCTTATTATTCCCACGCGGAATTACCGTATTTTTTCAGCATGAATTTTCAAAATAAGCACATGCGTTATTGTTAATCTCTTTAGTTTTGAACTTCAAACTGCGGATTCCCTCATTTTGCCGCGGACTCCCTCTTTTTGGGGGGCAGGGAGTCCGTTGCACTCCCTTGTTCTAAAGTTCCCCTGTATGAGTAAGTAAGAGGGAGGAACTATTCATTCGAGGGAGAGGGTTCAAATCTCCCGTTAGACCTTAAACAGCGGGCGGGGGAGAGTCGGCGGGACACATCGGGGAAAAACGGGGAGGAAGTTCAAATCTGGGGTCTCTTGGAAAAAATGAAGACAAAATTTCGTATTCCCTCCCTCGACCAATCGCGTCGCTTCTCTCACTCGTTGCTGTGGCGACGCATACTCGCAGGGCACCTACGCGACCGTTTTCAAGGGCAAGAGTCGTCTGACGGACGTCGTCGTCGCTCTGAAGGAGATCCGGCTCGAACATGAAGAGGGCGCCCCCTGTACGGCCATCCGCGAAGGTACGCACGCTCACTTGTTTCTGTCACGTGTATTTTGTGTCGTGATAGGACGCACTAAAAAAAAAAAGACGAAAGTGAAAACGTAATACATGAAAACATGGAAGTGACGAAGGTACGTTCGCGCGCGCGCACACGTTCACTTGTTTCTTTTACATTTATTTCGTGTCATGATACGACCGCACTCGAAAAAAAAAAAAAAGAGAAAAAATGTAATACATGAAACCGTGAAGCGACGAAGGTACGCACACGCGCGCGCACGTTCACTTGTTTCTGTCTGTATGTTTGTACGCTTGTATATATTTTGTCTCATAATACGACTGTCGTTAAACGTTTCCATTGTAATATCTATAAGTATAAAAGTTTCCATTGTAAGCTAATAAATTTTCGTATAAAAGTTTTAATTTTTTTTTACATATAAATTATATGCAAGTAAAATTCATTAATTAAAATTTAATCTCGCTCTCTCACTCTCTCTCTCTACGTTGCAGTTTCGCTTCTACGTGATTTGAAGCACGCCAACATTGTCACTCTACACGACATCGTCCATACGGAGAAGTCACTTACCTTAGTCTGACCTATAGTCTTTGAATATCTTAGTGAGTATGTGCGTGCGTGCGCAAGGAGGGCGGGCGGGGTGGGAGCGTTGCGGAGGGGCGAGCTTGGTGGGAAGGGGTGGGAATGGTAGGATGGAGAGCCAAGTGGGAGGTGGGGGAGGGTGGGTGGGAGCAGGTGGGCGAATGGGAGGGTGGGACGTGCGGGAAGGGGGTGGGGTGGCAGGGGTGGGGAATGGCGTAGGGGTGCGGAGCAGGTGGGAGGGGTGGGAATGCGGTTAAGGGTGGGAGCAGGGTGGAGGGTGGCGGTGATATCAGGGGGGGGTGGGGTGGGAGCGCGTTGGGAGGGGTGGGAGCAGGAGGCAGGGGCGGGGCAGCGTGTGCAAGAGCGTTTGGAGGGTCGGAGGCCTGGGGGAGGAGGGATAGAAATGATTGGAAAGAGTCACTATTACCTTACGTCTTTGCAATATCTAGTGAGTATAGTGCGTTCGCGCAGGAGGGGCGGGCGCGCGGTGGCGAGGGGTGGGAATGGGTAGGAAGTGGAGGGTTGGGGAGGGGAGCAGGTGGAGGGGTGCGGGAGGGAATGGGTCGGGGTTGGGGTGGAGCAGGTGGGAGGGGCGGGAGCGTGTGCCAAGGGCGTGTTGTGAGGGGTCGGAGGCCTGGGAGGAGAGGGATAGAATGATTGGAAGAAGTCAACTACTTTAGTTCATTCGATCTCTAGTGAGTAATGCGTGCGCAGGGGGGGGGGGGCGAGGAGAACGAGGGCGCGTCACGTGGCAGTTGGCATTGCAACAAGGCAGGAGAAGTTTTGTTCACGAAATTCTACGGTCGCAATTTCAGCGCGTACTTGTGCAAGTTTTCTATGCCTACACTGACATGTATATAATATATAATATATAATATACGTATAGACTTCTCTCTCTCTCTCTCTCTCTTTCTTTCTCTTTCTCTCTCTATTTTCTCTCCTCTCTCTCTGCTCTCTCTCTCCTCTCATCTCGTCTTTTCTCTCTCGTCTTTCTCTCGTCTCTCTCTCGCTCTCTCCCCTCCCCCTCCCCCATCCCTCTCCCTCTCGTTCTCTCTCTCTCTCTCTCTACTCTCTCTCTCTCTCTCTCTCTCTCTCTCTCTCTCTCTCTCTCTCTCTCTCTGCTCTCTCTCTCTCTCTCTCTCTCTCTCTCTCCCTCCCCCCCATCCCCTCCCTCTCCTCTGCTCTTTCTCACGCCGCCTTCTCTCCCATTACGCGATCATCAGATATCTGTGTCCTACTTTTCTCCCATCTCCCTTGCAGGCATTCCTGGCCTTCCCCCCCCCACTCCTCATCACTCTCTTTCAAACAATCTTGGCCTTATTCCCCCTTCCTCCCTCGTCCCCACACTCTTTCAAACACTTGTGGCCTTATTTTTCACCATCTCTTTCAAACACTTGTGGCCTTATTTTTCACCATCTCTTTCAAACACTTGTGGCCTTATTTTTCGCCATCTCTTTCAAACACTCGTGGCCTTATTTTTCACCATCCCTTTCAAACACTTGTGGCCTTATTTATCACCATGTTTATAAATCACTCTTGGCCTTATTTTTCACCATCTCTATCAAACACTCTAGACCTTATGTTTCCCTTTTCCTCGTCTTCCGTTCTACGACTATAGTTTTCCGCGAAGTATTCCCTGATATTTTATTTTCACGCGACACCATCGGTTTTAACGCGTATCTGGCGCGAATGCTCACTTGATCGGCTCTCGACAACACTGTTATTAAAACGCAATGGCAAGATTGATTCTGTCTCGCGTCTCGGTTGAGACGGGAGCGAGGCACGGACGACGCTCACGCCTCACGCGTTCTTGTGTTTTTTTTTTCGCCGTAGGAAAAGGATCTCAAGCAATACATGGACGACTGTGGTAACATAATGAACATGAATAACGTAAAGGTATGTTCTCTCTTAGACTCATAGACTATCTCTCTCTGTATTCTCTCTCTATCTCTCTCTCTCTCTCTCTCTCCTCTCTCTCTCGCATCTTCGCGAATCTCTCTCTCTCTCTCTCTCTCTCTCTCTCTTCTCTCTCTCTGCTTCTGCTCTCTCTTCTCTCTCGCTCGCCTCTCTCTCTCTCTCTCTCTCTATCTCTCTCTCTCTCTCTCTCTCTCTCTCTCTCTCTCTCTCTCTCTCTCCTCTCTCTCTCTCTCCGCTCTCTCTTTCTGTGTCTCTGTCTCTGTCCTCTCTCTTCTCTTCTCTCTCTCTCTTCTATCTCGCTCTCTCCTCTCTCTCCTCTCTCGCATCTGTTCTTACTCTCTCTCTCTCTATCTCTTCTTCTCTCTCTCATCTCTCTCCCTCTCTCAGATCTCTCTTTCTTCTCTCTCCTCCTGCTCTCGTCTCTCTCCCTCTCTCTCTCTCTACTCTCTCTCTCTTCGTGTCTCTGTCTCTTCTCTGCTCTCCTCTCTCATCTCGCGTCTACTCTTTCTCTCTCTCTTCTTTCTTCTTTTCTCTCTCTCTCTTTGTCTGCCTCTCTCTGCTTTTCGCTCCTCTATGTCTTTCTCACCTCACTGCTTCCGTATTCCTGACCTGGCGACAGGTCGCCATTGGAGACTAGCAACACCGCTGTACTGTGAACGCTTGCTAAGTTCAAGTGGCCTCGACTCAAGGGCTGTCATATGATGCGCCTAGTGACGCTTTGCCATTGACTTCTCACTGTTTCTATTGTAGGCGCTCTCTCTCTTCTTCTTGTTCTTCTCTTTTTCGTTCTATTTCTCTTTCTTCTTGCTCTTCTCTTTTTTCGTTCTAGTTTCTCTTTCTCTCTCTCTCTCTCTCTCTCTCTCTCTCCCTCTCCCTCTCTGTCCTCTGGCTTTCTCAGACTCTCGTCTCCACTCTCGCTCTCTTTGTCTCTTTCTCTACTCTCTCGTTTTCTTTCTCTCTCTTTCTCTCTCTCTCTTTCTCACCCCCACTTCTCTCGCTCTCTCTCTGGCCCCTACTCTCGAACCCCCCAACTTTGTCTCTCTTCTCTCTCTCCATCTCCCTCTCTCTGTCCTCCCACCCCTGCTCCGTGCCTCGCGCGTCTATCTCTTTCTACCCTCGCTTTCGTTAGCGCGATTGATACGCCTGCAAGCAATGTGACCCTAAATGACCAACGTGTCACAGTTACCGCGCTGCAACAGCCACTCCGTTCTCAGCTATCCGCCCTCCCCCCGCCCGCTCTCGCGCACCGCGCCGCGCCGCCCGGTCATTTGCTTCCGTCTGCACGATTGAAAAAAACAGGCGCGACGAGTTCTCTTGTTTGCTCGGCGGCAGAATTTTGCGGACGCCGGGAAGTTTCGGCGTTTGCGGAGATAGAAGAGAGAGGACGCTCGTAATCGCCGCCGATGAGAGCTGGCGAGGGGAAGGAAGAGGCGGAAGGAAGGCAGGAGTCGGAACTGGGAGGGAGGGAAGGCACACGTACTAGTCAGAGGAGAGGGGCGAGACGCAGGAGCTGGCGAGGAAGGAGAAGGAGGAGATAGAGGAAGGAGGCAGCGAGGAAAGGCTGAAGAAGAAAATGGGGCGGACGGCTGGAGGCAAGAAGAGGAAGAGTGCAGGAAAGGAGGAGGAGGATAATTGCGGTGATGTCATCCGTGACATTGTGATGTCATCAGTCATCGTGGTGATGTAAGCTAACGTCTGCCTCACGCACACGCGCGTTCTTCTGTTTCAGCTGTTCCTGCTACAGCTGCTGCGGAGGTCTCGCCTACTGTCCATGGCCGCCGCGTCCGTTTCACCGCGACCTCAAGCCACAGAACCTGCTCATCAACGACCGCGGCGAACTCAAGCTTGCAGATTTCGCAGTAAAGCGAGCGCTGCGGCGAGCGGGCGTTGCTGCTCTGTGGGTTCGGGAGTTGTCGAGAGGGTCGAGTTGAGTGTTTTCGGGGCCGTCGGTTGGTGTGTAGCTTGCGGTGTGCATGCGATCAGAGATGGGGCTGATTGCGGGCAGGTGGGGGGGGGTGCGGGGGTGGGGTGGCGCTGCGGCGCAGAAGCTGCTCACCACGTTTCGTCCATCCTGTCGACAATTTGGCTCGCGAGGCGCTAAACAATAACTCATCAGACAGTTCCTGACCACATGTTTCAATTGCATTATAGTTGTTACTCCGTATGGAAGAAGATTTCAGGTCTTATTTGGCGAGAACGCCAGTACGAACCTACTTTTCGCAGCACGTCACTTTTCTGGCAAAATGGACAAATGGCCATAGTCCACTCAGGTTCAAATGGAT